TTATATGTAATTAAAAGTTGATGAGCGCTAAAAGTACCGTTTAATATGATTGCAGGAACTTGGCCCAGAAATGTTTTTGACATGAGCAAGAGAAGTCTATGGAGTCATTTTACCCAAAAGAATAGGTGAGTTGACATGACAGTAACTGCCAATGCTGGTTAAATTTGTCTCCACTATGAGGAGCTTCCTTTCGTGTGCATCAAAGGGTGGCATTTGATGTTTTTTGTGGTGCCTTGGTTCTTTGTTGTCGATTTTAATCCTCCTCTGTCAAAATCCAGGTTATCACTGAAAATGTCTTTTAAAAATCTTGGCAATTTGGAAAATTGCTGAAATTGGTTTGGATTGGTGGGGCAGACTCCCTTTTCACATGCTGTGTCTAAATATCATGGTGCCGACCCACTACAGCAGAGTTCTTAGCCAGTGCGCCTTAGGTAGCCTACCCGCCTTTAGTTAGAGAGACCAGCTCTAATAAGACTCAAGTTTCTTTGGACGGGGGTGGACAGAAACAAAGGTAGTTTTGTGGTGCCTGGTTCACTCCTGTCGATTCGAATACTCGTCCATCTAAATGCGGACCCATCAATTTATAGCCTTTGTAAATTTTGCCAAAAATGGAAAAAATTAAAAATAGCTGGAAATGGTCGAAATGTCGAAATTTCGCGCCGCCGGTCCATTTCAAATGAATTGCGCCTGTTTTTCTTGGACCGGTTCGCCTGCGAGGTAGGCAGCCCGTCGTACGCTACCCGCCAGATTCAAAAGACCACCCCTTAAAACTCAAGTTTCTCCGGACAGGGGTGGTTTCTGCCGGAACCAAAAGTAGTTTTGTGGTCCCCTGGTTCACCCCTGTCGATTCGACTACTTTTTCGTCGAAATCCGGACCCATCAATTTTCGCTAAAAACACAAAGGCTATAGCCTTTGTATATTTTGCCAAAAATGGAAAAAATGAAAATCGCTGGAAATGATTGGAATTGGTCTAGGAGGGTCGCCTTTGACCTCCTCTGTCGAAATTGCGTGCTTCCTGCCTCTTTTCCATCCTGTTTCTTCAACTATAAAGTTGCTTCTTTGGTTTGTCGCAGGAAGATTGGCCTGGAGGTGACCTGACTTGGACATAAGCAAAGCAGCCTATGTGTCACCTGCAGTATGCTGAGTTGGCGTCGCAGCACCCAGCAGGAGGAATCGCTCCTTTTTCTCATGATCGCAGGAATGAATCTGGTAAGTTTTGACTTTCAATGTGATGTTAACTTAAAATACCAGTACTTTTATGGTAGTTATGTCTGGTAAAAGTTTATTTTGGTTTTTTTTCTATTTGGGGGTTACTTGTCATTTCTTTACTGCTTATTCTAATTTCATATATACAGCTTATTACTTGAGCCTCAAATATATAGCCGTGTTCTAATTTTAGTGCGGAACTAGAGGCAAATCATTAG